CTTCAGAGAGGGACCTGAAATCAGATCCAGCTCAAAGCCAAAGCAAGTCCAAAAAGAGACTTTCAAAAATCAAGAAATGTTGATCATTGCAGGTAAAACAGTGAATGAGATCAACGGCTTCTGGAACAAGAAAAAAGTCAAAGTTCTGAGTTTTGCTGATAAAGTGTCTGACCTCACAGAGAAGATTCTGCAAATTGCAGCAGAGTATCCATCTCTGAAAACCCTCATCATTCATACAGGAAGTGATGAAGTTATGAACCGACAGTCAGAAATCCTGAAAAAAGATTTCATTCAGTTGCTGAATGCAGTTAAAAATCTGAACATGGATGTTTTCATCAGTGGGCCCGTTCCTGCAGCCAGAGGAGGAGCTGAGAGGTTCAGCAGACTGTTGGCTCTTAATGGTTTCTTGGAAAAGTCCTGTGTTGACCACTCTGTAAGATATGTGGACAACTTTGACCTCTTCTGGGAAAGAAAACACCTCTTCAAGTCTGTAGGAATGACTCTGAATCAAACTGGAGCACAGCTTCTGGTTTCCAACATGAAGTATTTCCTGAACAAAGTTCTGGCTACAGGTAAACCACAACAGCTGACGTCTGAAGGACAGCTGGAGAAAACTGAGATATCAGTGGAACACAGCGTGCCAGTTACTAATAAGAAGACTGCTGCAGAATCAGAACCAGAGAGAGAGGAGTTACTTCAACCTGCAGAACCGGAAGAACAACTGGATTTATCAGCGTCACAAACAGAGGATCTCTTGGACTCTGAGACCCCAACAGGACAGCAAGTGGAATGCCCCTTCCTGGATTCTACTAACAACATGGAAGAACCTGGCGAGATTAAGATCAAACAAACACCATGTCCAGGGAAAGAATCTGATGAGATTAAGATCAAACAAACACCATGTCCAAATCCATGTAACCCGCCCCTTCCGGCCCCTCGCACTAAACCAAGATCTACAAAGAGTCAACGAGCCCCACCACCACCTCTGACCCTTTGACACATCAAAACAGACAATCCTGTTTGTGTTCAATATGATCCAAAGACTTTTGTGTGATAACTGTGTTTTGGGGTTAGTAATTACTGTGGGAGGAATAAAAATTTAATTACTGGGGTTGGGATTTCAGAAAAGTACATATACTTAGGTTTATGTTGACATGTTTTTTTTAATACATGAAAGAGTTTTTTTGTTGTTTTTTTGATCATTTAATTGGTGATTTAATGATCAGATGGGGGAGTGTAATAGAACTAATACTTTTATGTTTAAGCAAGTAATTCATGACATYCTTTAATGACCTAGGTTTTCATGACATGCTGTTCATCTGCAGACAGAATGATTAAAGTCAGAACAAGGTCTGCTAACAACAATAATCATTCTTAGATATCACTTGTGTTTATCTTTGTCTTTTCCATTGACCTAGTATCAAATCTTGCTAAGACGACAGAATGCTGTTTGTTAATATATAAATATGAGGCCTCTCGAGACAACAGAGTGAGACAGTGAGCAGTGTGGAGAGACTGACAGAGAGGCACAGAGACAGGCCACGTTCTCTGTGTTTCCTGTTGTTGCAATAAAACTCAGCTGATCATCTCACGGAGTACCTTCATTCTTGGACCACGTATTTCTGTCTTTGTTGAAATAATCCAGATAACAGTATTGTGGTGGACTAATTATTTCTATCACCTTGACACTGTTCACTGTTCGTATCTTGTCATATCTTATGACTGTTTCTTTAATCTGTGGCTCCGGACGTCAGAAGACACGGAATCAAGATGGCCTCTTTCCACGTACCGATATGGTCACCTTGGGATTTAGAGCTTGTCATTGGCTGTTAGGGACATGAGGCAGGTTGTGATTGGTTGTTTTTTATCACATGATGATAGCTGAAGGTATAACATTTCTCTTTAAATATTTTTATTGACATTTTTAGACTATTTTTATAATAAATGTGCAATCATCTAGTCTATATTACTGTGATTTTAACTGTGGTTTTAGAAGGTTTCCGAAGTCAACAAACACACTGTTTGAGTATCAGAGATTTTCAGGAAGTGATGAACAAGGCTGTGTCTCATTTTAGGGGTTGCCGCCCATATAGGATGCATTTGTAGGCCATTTACGTCACTGTGCCAGTCCACAGGCAGTGGCCAGTTTCATGCGGCCGACATATAACCCCAAAAATGAAGGCTGCATCTGAGTATCCCAAGATTCATTGCTCCATCAGCAAACTAAACAGGAATACAAAGACAGCTGAGTTTTTTCATTTAATAATTTTATCTGTTTTTATGACAGACTTTGAACATTTCTCATGAACTGAAGGATTTGTTTTTTGAATGTATTTTTTAGCAACTTAACTGATGACATTTTTGCTGCAATGAGATGGCAAACTTGAATTGTGTTGGCTCCAAAGGGTAAATGATTGAAGTGATTATTTTCTGAAAGTTTCAATAAAACTCGTTCTGTGGCTTATTAGGTATTTAGCTAAAATACAGTGTTGACTCCAAATAAATAATGACAAAATTTGAAACAATGATTTTGCAGAATCTATTAGTGGACATATACAGTAGATATTGCCAAAGAAATGATCTTTTGTCTTTGCCCTTTGGGATTGGGGGATAACAAGCCAAACGCTGAACAACAGAAGGTCTTCTCCTGCACAACATGTATTATACACAGGCAAGAGCTTTCATCCAGAAAAACTATGATAGATGGGAGGAGGAGGAGAGCACACCTCACATCTCCCCAGAAAGCTCATAGTCTCATTCACAGCTGAGAAAAAGGCCTGGAGCTACATCAGGAAGAAATAAGGCGTCTCTCAGTGCACCTGCAGCTGCTGAAGAGGCTAAATTATCCATGTTAGGAGACTCACACAGGCCACCCTGAGGTAACACCATCACATATATCACACCACAGTGAGGAGCTTCTGGATTAAACATGAGCTGTGATGAACCAGCCATACACAACCCAATGGGCACGAATATTAGTTTTCACACAACACAATTCATAAATGACTTCCAAACTTTCAAATGAAGTGTTAAAACCTGTGTTGAACATTTGTCTGCAGACAGGTGGTGTCTGACCTCCTCATGCAGACCATCTGGCTTGTATCAACTGTAGTGTCTTCAAAATGAAAACTCACCCTACAACAGCGAAGGCAGGAAGCTCCCGGAGGTCAAAAGGAAAGTGGTTGCTGAAACCAGTTCTATAAAGAGCTGTGACGGTCTCTGTAGAAAAGACAAATACAACATTAATAAAGAAAACATGCTACTGGAATATCCAATTGTGTGATTTCAGTGATTGGGAACTGTGGAAGATTTACTGCAACTCAAATTTGGTTGCCTTATTTAACATAAAAAATATATAAATCAAAGATTTGACGATCCTTAAAGGAATGACACATAATATAATACATAACATGATGTTGTAGGGGTCACTTCAACTGGAATAACAAGAATTTCGGTCTCTGAAATTTGTAGCGGCCTAACCAATTCTCAGGCCTTTAAAGAGACAAAAAAACTCTGTTCCATTCTGAACTTAATTTAGGCCGTGACAGGTCACTCCAACCATGGAAGAGACTTTCTCTTCCTCTTAATCAGATAATGAACAGAATAATCTCTGTTATTTGTGATTTACTTTTCATTTAACTATGAATGTTGATGCATCTGTTAATCAGAGATAATATTGTCAAGTTACATGACAAAAGTAGAACTTCTGTTCTCTCATTGTGCCTTAAGATTTATAAAGTTTTATAAAATAACCACAGAGAATGTGATTAGGATGTTTTATTGTGTTTGATGCAAATCACTGTTTTATTTTACTGTAAACCCAATAATAGAATTGTGGATTTTTCTTGAGAAAATCTTTCATTTATCTAAACTAATAAATGGTTTAGAATTGATTATGAAACAGAAATGTTTACATGTCTGAAGCAAGGCCGGATTAACCATATGGGCAATTGGGCAATTGCCCAGGGGCCCACGGTCTCTAAAGGGCCCTGGGCAGTGAAGGCACGGACATAACGGATGCGGGATATGCGTGAGACATGTCTCCCTGAGTCCCTGCACTTCCTGCATCTGTGCTCGATGTCCCCGCACTTTTCTCAGCCGTAACAGCTGTTTTATCCATTATTAACATATGGTAATGCGTTTTCCTGAGCCGTCTTTGAACGCACCATAAGCGTGCGCAAGGTACTACTGCAGATGACGGAGAGGAGACGTTCTTCTGACCACCTGCCTTCTGAGCAGAGCCTCGCAGTGTAAAGAGCAACTAAAACTTCGCACAGTTTTTTACCAAGCCATGTAAGTTGAGTCATGCTGTTGGAGGCAGATAATGTTAGCTAAATGAAGAGTTACACATTATATAATGTTTAGCTAGTTAACATGATTAGTTGT